GTTACTTAACTGTTGGAAGAGGTAGGAATAGTCTGATGTCCAGGATGATTTAAGCTATGTTGGGTGTGCTGTTCCCTTGTGGCCTGGCCTAATTTTCCCTTCAGGGTTGCTCTCCATGCAAAGCAAGGGTGTTTTTGGCTCCTGCTTCCATGTGGTAAGTCCATCTTGTTTGGACTGGAACCAGCTTCTTACTGGGCCCACCTCTGTCCCTGCCCTTGGTAAACAATGGGTACAAAGCTTCCTGACTCTTCAGCATCTTGCTGGATAAATGGCCCAAAGGTATATTGAAGAAGACAAGAAGCCTCATGTCAGCTCTAAATCCCAGTCACTAGATGGATCCAGCTCCACAACCAGCCTTATTGTTATTTTATTGTCTCCTTGATCCTTCTCATTTGTTTGAGGACTCAGAAGGAAAGGGCTGTGATTAACATCTCAGTAGAATGTGCAGGACACATGGATTTTGTCCTTGAAGGTGGTATGGAGCCTTCCTGGGGATGATGTGTGGGGCCAAGGCCTTTGCAGCCATCCATATGGAACAATCTCTTCTACTCTGGTTCACTGAGGTGGTACATTTCTTCCATTTCTCAATTACTGTTCTCACTGATCTAGTATGCTGGATGTCAGGCAAGGGTCAGAAAGTAGTGCCTGCATAAGAAAGAATAAAGCAGAGAATTAACAATTATCCTAGAAACTAGGTCACAATTAGATAAATCAGGTCCAGGTTTATTTTATTTATTTGTCAGTATGGTTTATCTTGGAAGGAAGGTTGGGCAATCTACTTTCATAGTGATACTACCTTGGAAACCCAAGGAGGGTCGCTATGAGTCAGGGCTGACTCGATGGCACATATCAACAACAACAACAACATGGTTTATCTGTGTATGTGGATCCAGTTAAGCCAGACCAATGTTCTCTCCCTTTCTATGCCCGGGTCCAAGTTCCTCCATGCATTAGCTCTGGGGCCTTATAAAATTACTTACCTTTTCTAAACCTGAGATTCAGATGAAAACAGAATCTACCTTTTCAGATGGTTGTGAAGATTCATTACATAGCGGAAGAGAAGCAGTGAGCACAGTGTGTGGTAGACAGGAAGTACTCAGTAAAGACTGGTCATCAGTTTTATCATAAATCTCTTTGAGGTGGAGATGGGCAGAGACCCAAATTGTGTCCTCCCTTTTGCAGATGTGGGTCCTGTGAGTCGTGGTCTTTCATCTTTGTTTATAGCTATGTGACACTGTTTCTCTAAGCAGATTTGGGAGAAGATTTGTTTCCATAAATCATGTTTATATGTTACTGAAATTTGTTTACCAAATTAGGGATAAGTTAAGGGCATTAGGGTACTTGCCTGAAAGGATGGATCTCCAGGGGAGAAGTAGAGTGAGTTGTTTGGTACACACGAAGGTGGGAACTGACCCAAGAATCTGGCTTCAAAGTAAATGTAGGCTTATTTCATATGTATGAAGTACAGCCCCAAAGCAGAGCTGGGTGAGGCTTCTTTTCATGGAGACTAAAGTTTTGCAAGCCTACAACAGCCTCATCTAGATTACATCAAGAGTTTCTGGCAGAAGGAGCTCTAGTTCCTATAGTTAAACCGCAGAGGATATCATGTTGTCTGTGGTTGTGCTGAGAGCACAATGGCTTAGAAGTTTTACAGCCGTTGGAAATCAGATGTTGTCTAAGGGAATTTATTAGACTTGCTTTAAACTGCTCACCCTCCACAGGAAGCCAGGCAACCATCC